TGGGGAAATGTCAGTGTTATCGTTGCGCACATTACAGCAACGAAAGAAGGAAATAAGAGCACTCAAACAGTCAGATAATAGACAATAGAATGAAAATAATAAGATGGTAAAATAGAGTGAAATAAAATAAACTCTAGAGCTATAATTACACTTGGTTCGGAAGTATTTACAGATGTGTTTATTGTACTTTAGCAGCAAAGAATATGACCAGAATAAAACTCACTTCACTGCCAGTTTGACTTGATGCTTTTTAATGTAGTCTGTGCTGATGGGACAAAAGTATAGACTCCCTGGACCTGAGGACCCTGGACCGGTACAGTATCCAGCCTTCCGTTGGGAGTTGGCGGTTCGGTGATGCCCCCCCAAGACAACTGTGGTTTTGATTTTGGGCGATACCAATGAAAATTGATTTGATTTGACCATAAATCCCACTGTGGGGCAATGAATGTTACAGAACTGTGAGAGCACTCAAACAAGATGAACAGCAGATAAAAACATGATCACTAGAGCTAATATTTAGAGAAAAGCAATACAAAGATAGAAGCTAAGTATTCACAACCATTCTTTCAAATGACCAGAGTTAGGGTTAGGATTATCAACATTATGGCAATTTAAGTATTTTGACTATGTTCATGATCTACTATGTGCCTTATTATGAAATCATCACAAGAAAAGTGATTTATTTATTAAAATTTAACAATATAGTACCTACATATTACTGCTTAATGTGATTATTGCACATTCGGACACATCAAAAAGATTTACTTACATATTACAATGTTAACAACGCTACAGTCATATTTGGATATTAATCACAAGCTAAAACGCCCTCATTCGCTCTGCCTTCTATGCTGAGTCGGTTGTCATGCAGGAATATTACAGAAGATAAAGAGTCGGCTCTATCTGTCTTCCAAGCATCACCAGAAATGCTGATTTACTGAGCTGCAGAATCGACCTGACAAGTGGATTTGCTTGCAGCCGTCTTGGGAACTGTCACAACCATTTACAGCCAAATCAGCAATTTGTTAATGACTGGCTTTGTGAGGCCTTATAGTCCGCTCAATCAGGCAACACAGCAATCCCATAATACTCGCTGTCAGAGGTCAATGAGAGGGGATTACTGCTGATCACAATGCTCAGATGTGTTGTTGTAAGCTTAAAAACCAACGCTTTGATCAATTAACTGTTTAAAGGGGATGTATACTGACCAGATATGTGTTTCTCAAAATATCAATGAAATGGTGCGTTTTTATGCATATACTGTCAAATAGTCATGACTTATGTAAATGTGACTAAAGGACACACAGACACCACCTGTGTGCGTGCGTGGAATGGGATTGGCTGACATTTTCCTAGAATAATCTATCACACAGCAAAGTAACCCTGCAACAAAGCTCTCAAAGAACATGTGGAGTACAAGGCTGCAAGATGAATCACAATCAAATCAAATTGGCCTGAGAGAGAGAGCGAGAGCGAGAGAGAGAGAGAGAGCTATTGTACAGGTTTTTAGTAGTGGGGGAAACCGTAGCACCTAGAGGAAAACGGAGCAGACACAGGTGATGCCAACTACACTCTTAAAGTCCCTGTCTGGAGGTGGAATCGAACCCAGAACCTTCTTGCTGAGAAGCGAGAGTGAATTTTTTTTTTTACTTCCTGCTGTTCTACATCTAAAACATGAATTGATAATCTAAAAAAATCCATTAGATATAAATCTAATCATTCAGTTGTAAAAAGACAGTAGACGTTTTAGTAATTGGGCAGTTTCGGCTCTGTATCTCACCTGATCACGCAGCACTTTGCCTGAATAACTCAAAAAATGTGACATGCTCAAACTCCGCGTGCAATTTGTCCAGTTTATTCCTTGCAAAAAAAAGTATTGTTTATTTCTCGTGGAACAATTTGAGTGTAATTGTGCGACAAGCTTCTTTTATCTTTATCCACCTCAATCATCTCTGAGAATCTCTGCTATGATCAAAAATATTTGTAAAAACAAAACTGAGCAAATCCAGAGAAGTCCATAATAGTGGATAAAGCACAAGACTCAGAGGTTATAAAGCTCCACTCAGCATTTTGCCTTTTTGCTTTTTGATGTTTGGAAACTTGACACTCACTTGAGGAGAGTCTGTGGGCGAGTGTGAACCTGTTCTTCACTAAATCCTCATAGACTCAGACTGTACTTGTCCGGTTGAGCCGACTCGCGCCGTGTTGCCGTGTTGCCGTGTTGATTGTCCTGGTAACAGACCACTTGACTTCGCATCACGTAGTAACGGCCCCCAGTTTATTTCTGTCTCATCTCCTCCATTGTAGACAGCGCCAAAAGCTGCCCTTCACATGGAGAGCTTTTCTGCGACCTCGTCTGGACTATCCTTGTGTTGGTATAAGGCTTGAAGAGTGCTTGACTGAACATTTTATGTAGGATGAAATACATACTTATGAATGCCACTTTGCCTGCAGCTCAGGGTCTGTTTATGCCTCTAGCCAATATAGGCTGAAAATGGATTCTCTTTCTCAAACAAGATTTTAACACCATTATATCAATAAGACTAAACAAATAGTTGTCTCATTCGTCTGCATGTATAGGATTGCATTATAACTACTGTATATAATATCTCTGAAGCGGATGATTCACTTGCCACGATTCATTTTCAATATTAACTGAGATATAACAAAATTGCGTGACATGCAACCAGAGTGCACATATGAAAAGTATCTAGGGGTAATATAATAATATAATGAAATAGTCAAATAATAATTGTTGCCCAGCCCCATGTCTCATCAGCCTCTGATTAAAGTGATTGTCTGGAATTTGTCAGAAAGAGAGAGAGAGAGGTACTTGATTTGAAAAAAACGATGCAAGCTCCCTCCCCCTTCCTTTCTGATTGGTCTACACCTACGTTTCCGTAACACTTTGAAATGTTAATCAGAGAACACATTATACATATACATTATTAATACACATGCACAGAGGTTTTCAGATTATTTGTGAACGTTTTAATAAAAATAAAAAATAAATGTATGCACAAAAAAAGCGATCGCGGCAAACCAGGAAGTGCTATTATCATGAATTGCACATTATAGGACACACCTGCAGAGGATATGATTATGGATATAGGTTCAGTATATTCATAAGTACCTCAGCGCGGATGTTCAGAATTCTTTGTTCAGTTTTCATGTAGTTCCAGAGCAAAATAGAGACTTGATTCGGAGGCTCCGTGAAAACAAACAACTGAGCATGCGCGCAGCTACGAGCATCAGCGCTGATGATTGACAGCCCTTGGCATGACTCGATTGGTTAACGTGGACGGCACCGTGGATTCTGAACTATAGCTAAGAGAAGGGAAGGCGGGACTTGCCCGTAATATTAGAATCAATAAAATTACTTATTTTATATCAACATTTAAGGCCAGGAGGTCAATTTAACACATTTCCTAAAAATTGTAATTAATTTAGAGTTACAGACTATCACTTTAACATAGGCTGACTTTAGTATTAGAATTAGTATATAAGCTGATCTTTGTATACGGTTTGTCCAAAGCAATGAATATAGATAATGGTTCAAATGGCACAAATGGTTCTTTCTTGCATATGCTAGAAAAATCATTTATTTATTGACCTCATTTCATCAGGAAAGATGAGATTTCACATTTTTGTCTTTCTTCCTGGGGCCAGAGCATAAGAGGGGACTGATTCTAAATGTTTTTAGTGGGTAGGGGAAACCAGAGCACCCGGAAACCAACATTGGGGAGAATATGCAAACACCAATTCAAAAACTCAGGTGGAATCGAACCCATGGACCTTCTTGCTGTACAAACCACTCAGCCACTGTGCTCACTATCCATGCTTTATTACAAACTGTTGAATTAATGTTGATAGACAAATGTGTTGAACCAAACAACGGAAAACAATCATATTCCCTGATGTGGGATTGCATGCTCCCCAGAAAGCCACCTGGACGATGCTCCGCCTCTTATGGAGAAGGTATTAGGTGCCAAAGTGAAATGGAGCCTTCCCTCCTGGAGGAATGTTTACCCAGGCTTAGCACACCGCCCACTGCATCAGACAGCCTGTGTATGGCTCCCTGTGTGCGCCTCATTTCAGCACCAGCGCTGTGCCATTTCAAACCTGAACCTGCTCGAAATGACCCCACACTCCCTCCTTCCCTCCTCTGTCCTTAGAGTAATGACGAGAATAGCTCCTATAGAAATGCACAGTGCAAGGTAAATGAGCGTGATATAAAATAAGAACAGTGCAGACACAGTTATGTGAGGATAGAAATTGGAATTTGGAGATAGAAAGGGAGCATTCCAAGCATTCTTACAAAGCAAGTGGCATTATGATCTGTGCCAAAATGTGCTGAAAAAGAACTCAAGTTTCAAGATTAATTAACTACAAGGTGAAAGTACTGCATGCATGCCAAATCATAGGGGTATATCAATCCAGGTGCTAAAATACTACTAAATTCAAATATACTATGCATTTTGAATGGTTTAGTTTTATAAGACATTATAAATTTGCTCCAATGTTAAGGAACTTTTGCGCACACATAAACCCTTAATAAAAATTAAACAAACCCAGTCTGAAAATTTCATTTAGATGGGCTGCTGTTTATAAAATAGGGGGCTTTTGGTTGTGGGATATTGAACAATGAGGTGTCTTGGGGATTTAACAAAACAAAGAGGACCAAAGCATGCCAAAAGACAAATGTCATCTTTATCTCCCTGGAGCAGAAATGTTATATGATATAAGCCTGACCTCCTCCTTGTAAGAAGACGAATGGTGTGTGTTTATCTCATTCATTCAGACACTCGTTTAAATGGAAAATTACAATGACCTTAGTAACCACTTTAAGAAGGAATTGGCATTTCAGCAATGTCTCTAAATATGTTGTAGGTGTTTGAACTAAGACAGAGCAGTGGAGTCCTTTTCACAGCTAAAGACCACTACAACATATAGTTTAAACAGTGTATTGTGTGTTTTTTGTAGTTGTTTTTTTTTTTTACCTTGTATGTGCTGGTTCACTACGTTCTCCAACCGGTCCAGTCTCTCTATAATCCGAAGCGTGTCTCCTCGTTTGTCCCCCTCAAACTTTCTATCCTGCAAAGGCATGGGCACTTTGATGTAAATGTTGGCGATGTAATTCGTGACCCATCCGACATACAGCAAGCACACAATGTTGGTCATGCCACTCAGGATCACGCATGTGGACACCAAAGTTTTGGTTCTCCTGGTGCAAGCCATGCCGACATCCCTCCATGCAGGCTGCAGTCTCCCGCGTGAAGACCCGAGGAGCGGGCGAGAGTTGTGCGTAAAGCGAGCCCCAGATCTAGCCGGTAGTTAAGTTATCTCCTCACAAAGCAAAACGAGAGCAGTCTAAACTTCTGAAGAGCAAAGGAAAAACAGCGTGTATTCAGCTGTGTCCATCTACAGGTGAAGAGTCGCGCTTAGCTCCATCCAGTGAGCTTCACACGCGTCCACTTGCGAATGAAGAGCAGGGAGACACGGAGGCAGAGAGAGCATCCCGCACCAGCCAATAGGAGAGGAGCGCACATGACGGGCTCAGCGGCTGCAGCGGCTGAGGGCGTCCCCAGTGCGCACAGCTCCCACAGAGCGCGCCTCGTCACATCGGGGTTAAACAAACCAGCTCCTGTTGCGCTGGTCAAGCTCATTTCACGTAGAAGCGTTAACATATCTTTATTACGAGGAATAGCCCCTTGAGATGCATCATCTCGTTTTCGAGAGGGTCCTGAAATTAACAACACAAGTATCAGCAGCGGTTGTCAAATAAATGCGGTTACAGTATAGTGTAACAAAAAAGCTTCCTTGTTAGAAAGATGTTTCAGACTTAGATAGACAGATAAATCATGTTTTGACAATACGCACGTATTGATGTAGTATACATTTGCAGCAGGGTAAAATGTACTCATTATCGTTGAAAGTAAATTATAAGACAATGGCCATAACCTATATGTGCAAAGTAAACTAGAGTCTGTTTCAATAGAACTTTGTGAAAATTTTTGGTCTGCTTGACAGTGTTTTTCATATCAAATTCTCCAGGCGATTATTTGATAACAATAGCCTTTGTCAGCCAATCTGCCAGACAGCTCCAAGCTCAGCGGTCTCCCTGCAGAGATAACAGATGAATGTTTTTAACCCACCCTGTAGTCTATTCCACAAAGATATTGAAATATAAGTATTATGTTTTTCCTACTGTTGCCGTAATATTCAATAATGAATGTGTCTTTCAACATAATGAAAGGTAATCATATTTGCAGCTGCTCAAAACTTATATTCATTAAATATTAAATGATAAATAGATAATCCATGTCCAAAGATTTGTATTATTTTATTTTTTTGTTTCTCAAAGGTGTGACTTTCTATAGGTAACCTTTTTTTTCTTTTTTTAAATAGTCTTTTTGGTGCAGCTTTCTCACATTTCGGATATAACAGTGCTGGACCATGCTTCTCATTCATCTCCGCTAACACACCTGTCATGCCCACAGAAAGTTATTTTCTTCCCATCGTGTTTTGCAGCTATTCCGCTACACTGGTGATAACAATACCACTCTGGAATCTGTTCCCCTTAAGCCTTCTTCTTAACTCAAGAGTGCACTGAATGGATTGGCCCTTTGTAGTTAATGGCCTTCAGATGCTCACTTTGATGAAAAAGATAATTTAGGATTATGGAAATGAACAGGGTGTTTAGGCATACAAATTCTCCATTTACTGAGTCAGCATTTCTTATGTTGCTTTTCTGGATCGTAAACCGTAACCTAGATAAATATTGGTTTGATATAATGATTAAAAAACTAATTCATGCATCCGTATGAAACCTTGGCTCAATGCCTTTGCTGAGTTCAAAAGTTGTGTCCTCGCCAGATATCAGGCTGTGCACAGTGTCGAGGCGAGTACAATTAAAGCGGATTGAAATTATAATGAGTAAATGATATCTTGGCAGCAGTCGGCCACCCCGAGCCCTGGCGACGGGCGTATCACAGATTAGCTTGTTAAGTGTTGCTCCATGATCTACAGAGTACAGAGCCGAGAAATGGGGCTGGATTGTTGACACTGTTTGTCCCTTCCTTTGTGAGACGTCTCCATAAGATGAAGACGACCTCCATGCTATATGCACATTATATTGACAGGCAGCGCAGTGCAGCCTGTGCTTTACTTTTATTGATTTCTTTTGAATGGGTGCCAGTGTATAGGGGACACTGCTTAGGGTACTCATCAATTTCCGTTGATTCAGCACCTTTGCAACAAATGAAACCAGCAGATCTCATGTCATGTTTTAGGATTTATGTGACTGGCATGTGCATGTCTGGGGTCGTGCATTAACATTGTTTTGCTTTTAATATGAACAGTACGGGCCTCATTTATCAAACAGTTACTCACCTGCAGAAGGGATTTGCGCCCCATAAAGGAACAGTATATAATATGCTCCTAGTGGTCTGTTAGAGAGAGCAGCACTTTCTGCTCTATCTCTGTTTTAAAAATCACTTCTTATTGGAAAAGGCAACCAAGAATAAAAATACTTAACTGTGCCTTTTGTTGTGTTAGATTTTGTCAGGTTCAACTGTGGTTAAATATCAGCATTAACACTATTAAATAATACGTTTTTAGGAGGTGTTTGTGCGGCAATGGCACAAATGGGCTTTCTGGTATTAATGCTTTATTTTAAATCCTCAGTCCTCCACTATGGAAAATGGCTTGTCGTCAATCATTTCCATTACCTCTTCAGTTATTGATATGGCTTTTGCACTACCCTCAGCAAATTTCTTGGTCTGGTCGAGTACCTGCTGTATCGGACTTCCAGCTGCACTTGCTTTCGTTTGTGCCCGCTGGCAAATGTTAGAAGAATTTTTTTCCTGCATTTTTTTGTTAGGTGGCGGTTTATCATATAACATATTACATTTGTGGTGTTGAATGACTTGACGCGGCACCCACCTCGCAATAACTCGACTTTGCAGGTGTTGCAAACTGCTTTTCGAGTGTCTTCTTTCGAGACTGTTAAAACACCCACACCGCTGACATTTTTTTCTCGACCTCAGTTTTACATACCACAATCCAATGCTGCCATTGGTCGACGCTGTGCTCCAAATACACACGGCGTCAACCCCCCTTTCCCTCTCGACACAGCAACTAGAGGAATACACATCAGCTGTGGTTACCGGCCCGTTTTTATTCTTTCTCATCGGTGAAAATGATAAAAATAGGCCAATATCAATATGAATATCAATTTATTGTGTATCCCTAATTTTCAGGGCTGAAGTTGGCTGAATGGGGGTGGAGGGTGGAATATCGAGAGCGTGTGGGTTATTATTGTTGATTTTTTTCATTGTCAAGTTTTATATTATTATTATTCATTCTTATTCTTATTATAATTTTTTTGTCTTTCTTCTTAGTTTTTTGTCTTTGTGTATTTATTTGTTATTCTGCACACTGGTTCCTTCATAAGCACAGGTCGTTAGCTCTGGAGTCATCTCTGTTTAAACCATAGATCTATCTTTAAACGTCCGGTCATTAAGTCTCGGTTTTGTGTCCAGCCGATCCTCTAGATGACGCCAGAGATAAGTCAGTGAGTGAGAAACCGATCAGACGTATTGCACCAAGGCTGCAATGTCCACAAGTATTATTTTTAACATAATAAAACAGCAATTCATTCATACCATTCATGGTGGTGCGTTCAGCTACTATTGTAGCCATAGCTGCCCTGGGACAGGCTACGGAGGCTGCCAACCTGGATCGGCCCCTCTGACCACCACAAACAATCACATCCATTGATGCACGTGGGTGAAGTGTCTTGTCAAAGGACACAACGACAGTTTGGCACTTTACAGCCGCAGTCGTCTCACTGTGGCGCCTGGTCTTACAGCAGTCTCCCATCAATGACATCACCCTTTAGCATCAGAGGCAGCGAGCACTAGCTGTTAGCCGTTAGCCTCATGACCGATCACACACAACACTAATGAGTATTAAATACTCAGAGCATGTGGAGGTTTAACTCCAGTTACTGTGACTCTGTGAGGATCCAATGTGCTGCTTGTTGTGAAAAGGGTCTAGGGAAGATGTGGGTTCAGGGAGAGGGAGGGGGAGGGAGGGGGGGAGGGAGGTAGGGAGGGGGGTAGTTCACTCGGTCTTAGTTATTGGGGACAGTAACCATTGGCGGTTGGTTCGGTCTGTTGATGTGGGTCTTTTGACGATTGCGTCTCCACTTATTCTGAGGATAGTGTGGAGCGTGGTTCTCCTGAGGGTCCTGGATCTGTTGCTTGGAGGGGTTCTGCAGTGGATACTTCAGGCGTAGGTTCTCATCCAGGGCCTTTCTAAGTGACATTACTGTGCCTTTGACTCTTTGTATTTAATCATCTCCTCCTCCTTTTTCTGCAATAACAAAGTTTTTCAGGACAAAGTTCTCTCTAAACTCCTCCATCTCTTTCTGAGACTTACACAGTTTTTCCTTCAGTGCACAATTACCTTTCCTCAGATGCATCTTCTGGTCCTGCATCTTGGTCTCCAGCTCCTCAATAAAAAGGACAGCATCTAGAACAAGACAAGAGTTAATTCATTCTTATGTGTTCATGTTTTCTTCTTCAACTTTTGAGAGATCTGTGTCCATACCTTCCATGATGGAGTCCTTCCGTCGCCCGTCCTCTTCAGTACGCTTCTCCAAAGTCCTCAGAGTCTGCTGTACCGACTGCAGTCCTGTTTCTCGCCTCTCCCAAGAGCTCCTGAACCAGGGCGGACAAAACCAAACCGTAGACCCCCCTCAGAAGAGGAAAACTCACGGTTCCAACTCAATCCGCTGCACCAAGCACGGAATGGGCCACCGACCGGTCCGACACATCCAAAAGGTAAGACCGGACGAAAGAGGAGGACGAAGCCCAAGAAGCCGCACGGCAAACGTCCTCGACCGAAGCCTCCCTGAGCAGGGCCGTAGAGGCCGCCACCCCACGAGTGGAGTGCGTCCTGAAACCCACCGGAGGGGCCAGGCCCTGAGGCTGATATGCCAACCGCACAGCCGTGGCGACCCAGTGCGCCAGCTGCTGAGACGACAGCGAGGCGCCCCTGTTCTTGAGGCCCAGACACACAAACAGCTGATCAACCAACCTGAAGGAAGATGTCATCGCCAGGTAACGCCTAAGCATTCTGACAGGACACAGAAGGTGCCGCCGCTCCTCCTCCGACGAGGCATGCGGCGGCGGATAGAAAGCCCTAAACCTAATCACTCTCGACCTGAAGGC